AAACAAAATGGAAACAACTATAGTATATTGGGGGTTATATTGGGATAATGGAAAACAAAATGGAAACTACTATAGTATATTGGGGGTTATATTGAATCATGGAAAACAAAATGGAAACTATTAGGGGTTTGCTTCAACTCCGAGGACTCGGGCTGGCAGGATGATGGCCATTCAGGGGATAATGGAAAATAGAATGGAAACAACTATAGTATATAGGGGTTATATAGGGGTTATATAGGGGTTATGTAGGGATAATGGAAAAGAAAATGGAAGCTACTATAGTAGGGTGGCAGGAGTTGGGTGAAGCACCTGAAAAGTTGGGAATGGTCGTCTGCCTAGGTGCCAAAGCGGGCGAGACATGACAGGTTTGGGCCTCCAGACAACAGAAACTTCTGGAAGTCCCACCAAAAGCAAGAAGCCGGCTGCTATCTAGTAGAAATGCTGTACCTCTGATGTGAGCAAGACGACTACTTACTGCTGCTGCTTGAGTCCTTCATAGACCCCAAGACATGGTAATCCTGAAAAGATGCCACAAATGCCATCCGAGTGACACAAAGAACAGCTTTCGACCGGTTCCCTGCAGAGCAATTTCATGGTGTGGCTTTGCGCAGCTGTGTTCTGGCATCAACGCTTCCTCAAGCAGCTCCTGATTGGGAAGCCGACATTTTTACCAAAAATACCTTCAAATCCCTCACCCCTGGCCTTGCCTTGTGCTGCAACCTCAGCCACTGAGTGCCACGAGTGCCGTAGTACTCCTTGGCTGCATAATCGGCACACATCCCTCTGGCATGTAGAGGCATTGGCTAAAATTGGGAAGCTGCTGCCATCCACTTGTGGGGACTGCATTCTGCGAGAAGTCTGCATCTGAGAAGCGGTTCGCATATCCTCCGCCACGTCTGTCTCCTCAGCAGGAGCGGAGAAAACAGTCGTTGCCGCAGCTTTGCAAATTCCATGGGTCATACAGGTTCAGCTGAGCATCACCATGCTCCAGCAGTGACCTCAGTTTTGCATGGTGATATCAACCCGAAAACGTCCAGAGAGGAAGCCTGGCCAAAGCAACACATTTGCAACGGACCAGCATCCGCTGGCAGCTGAGTGCGCGACCAGGCTGCCTTCCTGTAGGCTACGCAGATGGCGTGTTTGCCCTGGAATGCTTCGTACTGCCTCAGATTTCTAAAAAACTTCGCACTGAAGTTTGCATCCGAATTTCCGCTGGCAAGCGGCTCCAATAAACCCACGTGGCCGAGCACCCGCACCGGATCCTGCGAAGGCTTGAAGGAAGCTTGGCATGAATTTCACATACTTCAGAACCAAGGATCTCCCCTTGCAATCTGCGCAGATGAGGAATACCTAGTACCGATGCTGGCCAGTTCCATGGTAAATCAGCCAAAGTCATGATAATCGCTACTTCATGGAGTGCTGCAGCTGGCTCTGACTGCAATCCCAAGTCCTCGCACTCCTGGAAGCCCATAACCTGACTATGCAGGGATGGTTCCTGATGCAAACCGTACGAATCGTAGAAGGTGGTAAGCTTTCTTGCCAACGTTGCTTTATCCCTGTCGACGTCATGCACTGCATGTTCACGCAGACCCTAAGACCTAAATAGTAGTTTCCATTCTTTTTTCCATTATCCCAATATGTCTCCAATATAACTCCTACATAATATGATAATTTCCGCTTCTTTTCCATTATCCTAATAAAACCCCAGTATAACCCCCGTTATCCCAATATAACCCCAATACATACCCAATACTCATTACTCTTCAGCAAGGCAGCATCGTAGGGCGGACTGGCCGTATTCTGGATCAAGTGTCCAGCGCTGTCGCCTCGTCCACCCTCCACCTAGACAGAAGCACAGTATTGGGTAGTATATTGGGGGTGATAATGGGGAGAATTTATAAGAAAATGGAAGCTACCATGTAGGGTTTAGGGTTTAGGAAGCACATCCGCCGACCTTGGAGGGTGTGCTGGACGGCTTCAGTAGACGGAGAGAGTGAAAACCCTCTTGTCCGAAACAGCCCAAAAACGGGGTGGGGGGTAGGGGGATATCCCGGCTGCGTTCGAGCAGGTCCCGACCTAGGCTCCCACCACCGAAAAATCTTTTCGGGCCCCAAGCCTCTGGAGGCCTAGGCCCCAAGCCCTTGGGAGCCCGGGCCCAAGCCTCTGGGCCCAGGCCCCAACATTTCTTGGGCATGTGATTGTTTTGGATTCCTGCTTGAACTAATCTTGTCAGGAGGTCCAAATGCCAGGGTGTCAGGCTGGGGGCCTCATGCTCATGAGGGGCCACCCCAAGCTAGGGTCATGAAGGCCTGGACACATGGAATGCAATGGTCCCGGCAACCTAGCCTGTTGCACCAATTGATTTCCCGCGCGCAGTCCCGACAGCCTAATTCGAACTTATCCTGTTGCGTCGAAACAGGTTTTAGCCGTCGCGACTTCTCCGCGTATAATTGGCGCTTGGCGGCCCAAGCCCCAGGCCCCTGAGGCCCGCGCCTCAAACCCCTGGGGCCGGTTCCCAAACCCTAGGTTGAGCATGCTGATCA